TTCACCATCCCTTGTAAAAATGCAGGGTGTGAACCCCGGGAGAAGCATTTTAATTGAAACGCGTGAATGGTTACGGGGGAATCAACAATAGCTATTATTTATAATTGAAGTTTAACAACGAAGTTTAACAACCATGGCAACAACAACACCAACACCAACACCAGCTGCAACAACGACGACAACAACAACAATATTTCTACCCGAATGCTCCAGTACGCATGATGAGCATGCACCAATCATAAGAACAAGCCCCATCATAGACGACTTTTCTTCTGGCATGGGGGGCCCGGTCATTCCATGCCCGGATCTATTGCCCAAAGGGGTTTTGCACACACTTCTTCGCAATCACTTCAACATCTGCTGCTCGGATGGCACAGCGCCGTCGCAATAGCGTTGCGCATGCCCTGCTCTTCGGAGAAGGAAGAGGAGGAGAAGGAGGAGGAGGAGGAGGAGGAGGGGGAGGAGGAGGGGGGGGGAGGAGAAGGAAGGGAGGGAGGAGGGAGGAGGCAACATGACGGAGCACGAGGAGAGGAGGACGAGGATGAGGAAGAGGAGGAGAAGGAGGGGGAGGAGGAACAGGAGGAGGAACAGGAGGAGGAACAGGAGGAGGAACAGGAGGAGGGGGAGGAGGACAAGCTAGGTGCGCTCGCGTCATATCTGACGTCCTACCCCTTCCTCCCATCCCTTACCATGGCGCTGATTTTCTCTATCCGCGGACGCGTGTCGTAGCGGACCTGTGGCTCCGCGCGCGCGTGCGTAGTGGGTGGTGGTGCGTGCGTGCGTGCGTGCGTGCGTGTGTGCGTGGTTGTGGTGGTGGTGGTGGTGGTGGTGTGGTGGTGGTGGTGGTGGTGGTGGTGGTGGTGGTGGTGGTGGTGGTGGTGCGGCGCAGTGGTGGCGGGCGGATGGGCGCGCGAGAAAGAGGCCCGCGCTGGGGCGAGAACGCCATCCTGAACGACGGAGGCCAAACACCGATCCGAAAATGAGGCCCACGCTGCAGCGGGAGCACGATTCGGAACGATTCGGGAGCAGAAATGAGGCCGACGCCTCAGCGAGAGCAGCATTTTGGGAAAAAAAACGCAGGCGAAAATCCGTTTCCCGGGAATCCTGTGTGTAAAAAAACAATGCGCGGGGGGGGGGTCGGCGATCACCCAACCGCCATCAGGGGAAGAGGGAGAGTATTTTCATATTGAGTAATTGTGGAGGGGGAGGAGGGGGAGGAGAAGGAGGAGAAGGAGGGAGGAGGAGGAGGAGGACCCAGGCAGAAGAGAAGGAGGAGGCAGGAGGAGGAGGAGGAGGAAGAGGAGGAGGAGGAGGCAGGAGGCAGGAGGGAGGAGGGCATGAGAGGAGGGCGGACGAGCGAGGAGGAGGAGGAGGAGGAGGAGGAGGTCATGGAGGGGGACGGTGGGGAGCAGGAGGAGGAGGAAGAGGTTGAGGGGGGGGGGGCGGCAATCTCACGAGCGGGGGCCCCCAAGAGGCGGTTTTTTATGGTCCTCGCATCGAGTTGCGACGGCTTCGGGGCCGGGAAAAACTCCCAAAGGCCGAGGACATCGGCGGCCAGGATGGCGCGGCGCCTTCGCAATAGCGTTGCCAACGCCATGCTTTTCGGGCGAGGGGGAGGATGAGGAGGAGAAGGACGGGGCACGAGGAGGAGGAGGACAAGGAGGAAGAGGAGGAGGAGGAGGGATACCGAGGATGCGGAAGAGAAGGAGGAGCAGAAGGAGGAGGGATGAGTTGGGAGGAGGGGTGACGAGAGAGGAAAAGGAGGAGGAGGAGGAAGAGGAGAAGGAGGAGGAGGAGGAGGAGTTGGATGAGAAGGAAGAGCAGGAGGAGGAGGAGGAGGAGGAGGAGGAGGAAGAGGAGGACGACCAGGAAAAACACAACGTCGTATGAGGCTATTTTGAAGTTCCCTTGGACCGTTGGGCGCCCTCTTGGACCGTCTTGGGGTTCTCTTGGGCCGTCCGGGGGCCTCTTCTGGCGCTCTTGGTAGTTTATGGGCGCCCCCTCGGCTCGCTTGTGGCATTGTCGGAGCTTTCCTGGAGCCGCCCGATACCTTGCAGAGGGGATGCGCCGTCCAAGGGCCCTTACGGGCGCTCTGAGGAGCTTATTGGCGCCTCCTCGGGACGCTTGCGGGGCCTTCTTTTGAACCTTCTGGGGGCCATCCGAAGCCTTTAGAAAAGATGCCGAGGCGATGGCCGCATTTCCCAGCACGAAGCATTCAGATATCGAGCGGGGTCGTTGTTCGTGTAATTAGGGTGGCTGGTTTTCGGCGCCAAGGCGCGAGCATCATGTCTGGCAAAAAAAAGAGGGATCGAGCGGGAGCGCTGGTTTTGATGGACGTCCCGCTTTCGGCGGCGAGCAAAGTGGCCCCCACCTACAAATCAAAGAAATATTGATCGGAAGCCCTGGTTTTAATGGAGGGCCCGTTTTTGGCAGCGAGCGAAAGCGCCAGTCCTCAGGTACAACAAAAGGAATATCTATCGTGAGCATCGTTGTTGTCGGGGTGGGCCGTCTGCGGCGCTTGAGCGTGAGCCGAATTTTCAGAGGAGGTGCTGGCGGCGCCTAGGTGAGAACGCCAAAGCGCCTCTAGGGTGTCCAACAAGCAACAAGGTTCAACAACAGTCCGCACCGCAGAAGCCCACTTCAGGGACAGTGAATGACCGTTCTGCCCCCGCACTCCTGATAACGTCAGACGTCAGGGTCCAAGCCACGGTGGCCTTCCCTGGCGTTCTTTCCGTGCTCTTTGCGGCCATGGAGGCTCCTCGTCGCCAGGGTCAGATCCCCGACGCCGCGCGGCCTCCGGCAAGGGGAGGAGGAGGAGGAGGAGGAGGAGGAAGAGGAGAGGAGTCGGCGGCGGCGGGGATTTCTCTGATTCCACCTCTGAGCGTTTGGATGTCTGGGTTTCGCCTCGGGCGAGGTTCTGGGTTTCACCTGGTGCCTGATTGGGATGTCGTCTGGCGCCGATTCTAGATTTCGCCTCGTTCGGGATTCCTGGCTTTTACGTGCGTAAGTGAATGTGTTCGACCTTCCTCTATCGGAGGAAGGCCAGTCGAGGCAACGGCGGCCATTCCTGGCGCTCTTCGTT